GTCTTTGGCGTGTGAAGCAGTGGTGGGCCCAATAGATATCGCTTGAGCTCCTTCAAGGACTGTTGGCATTCCGGGGTCCATGAGAAGTTATTCTTTTTCTTCAATAGTGTAAAGAACCAGTGGCTCTTGTCGAAGGACCTCAAAATGAATCGCCCAAGGGCGGCTATGCGCCCGGTTAATCTTTGCACGGCCTTCACGTTGTCCATAGCCATGATATCGTCGATGGCTTTGATCTTGTCGGGGTTGATCTCGATTCCTCGGTTGGATACCATGAACCCGAGGAATTTACCTGATCCAACTCCGAACACACATTTCTCCGGGTTCAGCTTCATATTATATTTCTTTAATATGTTGAATGTTTTCTGCAAATATTTTAAATGGTTCTCTACTCTCAGGGACTTAACCAGCATATCGTCAATGTAAACCTCCATTGATTTTCCTATTTGTTCCTCGAACATCCGGTTTTTCTAGGAATTGGTAAGTGGCACCGGCGTTTTTTAATTCGAATAGCATCACGTTATAGCAGTATGTGCTGTACTTAGTGATGAAGGAGATTTTTTCCTAATCATCCGGGTTCATCCGTATCTGGTTGTACCTGGAATAGGCATCGAGAAAACTAAGGATCTCGTGGCCGGCCATGGCATCGATCATGCGATTGATGTTGGGCAAAGGAAAGGAGTCCTTGGGACATACCTTATTCAAATCCTTATAGCCTACACATATTCTTAATTTATTCACTTTTTTAGGGATTACCTCTACATTTGCTAACCAATCCAGGTATTTGACCTCCCGGATGGACCCTATTTTAAGAGTTTAGATACCTCGTCCTTAACGAAAGCATGTTTGACCTCAGACTAGGGTCTCCTATTCTGCTTGATCGGATGGAACTTCGGGTCCAGGCTCAGTTTGTGAGTGGTTATCTCCGGTGGGATCCCTGTCATATCAAGGTGGGACCAAGTGAAATAATCTTTATTAGCTAAAAGAAATTGAATGAATTTTTTCCTGAGCTCGAGGCTTAACCCCATGCCTAGGTATACCTTTCGATCGGGTAAGTGTTCACTCAATGCGACTTGTCCAGTTCCTCGACCGTTGATTTTGTAGCGTCGGAGTCATCGGGGGCTATAAAAGATCTGGGGACCCCGTAATCATTGTCTTTATCAGTCCCTTGTTTCTTCGGTTGAGTCAGGGCTGGTGTCGGTAGTTGCCATTTAGTTTCTTGCTTTGCGATAGAACCCGACCCCTTTGTCATTGCAAATACGGTTATCGAAATCTCCTCTTCGACCGCAAACATCTCCTTTACGGCTAGCTATTCTCCATTGATTGTTTTAACCCCACCTGGTGTTGGGAATTTTAACACTTGGTGCAGAGTCGAGGGTACTGCCATCATGTTGTGGATCCATGGCCTCCCGAACAAAGCGTTGTACCTCATGTCTCCTTCGATCACATAAAATTTAGCTTCCTGAATGATCCCGGCAGTGCTCACCGGTAATTTTATCTCCCACTTAGTGGTTTCACATGCCATGTTGAATTCGTTTAGTACTCGAACTGCAGGCACGATTTGATCTTGTAGACCGAGCTGCTCCAAGACCCTCGATCGGATGATGTTGGCCGAGCTACTTGGATCAATTAACACTCGCTTAACTCAAAATTTATTTACGAGTATAAATATTACCAGTGCATCATTGTGGGGTTGCACGACCCCTTCCGTGTCCTCGTCGTTGAAAGAAAAGGTTCCTTCTAGTATGTAATCTCAAATCCATTTTTCCCTCGTGATGGATACTTTGATACGCTTCAACATCGGCCCTCGAGGGACATTGACCCCACCGATGATCATGTTAATGATGTGTTGAGGTTCTTCCTGTTCGGTCTGCTTGTTAAAATCCCTATTCCTGAAATGATTCTTGGCTCGATTGCTCAGGAACTCTCGAAGATGCCTGTTGTTGAATAGTCGGGCTACTTCCTCTCTCAACTGTCGGCAATCCTCCGTTCTATGGCCGTGAGTGTCGTGATATTTACACATCTAGTTAGGATCCCTTTGGGTTGGATTGGATTGTAGAGGTCGAGGCCATTTGGTATCTTTGATGTGTCTGATAGTTGATACAATGATGATAGCATCGACGTTAAAGTTGTATTCCGATAACCTCGGTGCTTCTGTGGGCCCAATAGGCTTGTCGAAACTGTTTTTGCTCATGAGTCCCCGATTTCTCTGACCTCGATCACTTCTCCTTTCATTTCTCAAAGAGTTCCGCCCAGACCCAGTACTTCTTTGGTCTCCATTATACTACTGATACCGATCCCTGTTTGATCGTGGTTCATGATCGATGTCTCTCTTAACTCCGTCGATGTTTATGACGGGATAAACGGACCCCGAAGGGGCCCCGAGTTGATCATCTTCGACTTTGATTTTTGATTGATATCGGTTATGCACGTCAGCCCAAGTAAAGGTTGGGCATTCTATCAGGTTTTGTTTCAACTGCTGTGAAGCCACCGAGCTTTGAACATTGAGCCCTTGGGTGAAAGCCTGAATAGCCCAATCATCAGCGACCGGTGGCAGGTCCATTCGTTCCATTTGAAACTGGGACACGAACTCTCTGAGGATCTCGTTATCCTTCTATTTTACTTTGAAAAGGTCTGATTTCCTGGTCTCGACCTTGATGGCCCCGGCGTGTGCCTTCACAAAGGAATCCGCAAGCATAGCAAATGAGTCAATAGAATTAGGAGGTAAGTTGTGATACCATATCATAGCTCCTTTTGACAGGTTCTCTCCGAACTTCTTCAATAGGACAGACTCGATCTCATCATCCTCCAAGTCATTTCCTTTGATGGCACATGTGTAAGAGGTTACATGCTCATTTGGGGTGGTCGTTCTGTTATACTTAGCAATCTCAGGCATGCAGAATTTCTTAGGGATCGGCTTTGGAGCCGCACTTGGAGGAAAAGGTTTTTGCACGAACTTCTTTGAATCCAGGCCTTTCAACATCGGTGGTGCTCCTGAGATTTGATCTACCCTGAAATTGTAGGTTTCCACCTTTTTGTCATTAGCTTCGATTTTCTTCTCCCCTGATTCTACCCGTTTTGTCAGTTCTTCAAGCATCTTTATGATCTCGGGGTTAGCCCCCGATTCGTTTTCACTTGACCTTTCTGCGACCGGTTCATCCCTGCGGGTGACTTCTCGGGGTGGATCGGGTTTAACTCTGCTCGGTGTACGGCTTTGATTCTGTAACTCAGTTATCACCGCCTGTTGGGCCTGCGGTATTTTGAAGATCACCTGTAAACTGATCCCGTCTCCTCCAATGTTTTGTGTATTTTAAGTTGTAGATCGGGCTCCACCACAGATGCTATTCTTGGGGTCGGCAGGCAGGTTCGTGTCGATAGCCACATGCGAATTAGCGTCAATCGGATCCGCGACCAGAATTTCAATGGGATCAACAGGCGGTACCTCATCACCGGGCGCTATGTTGTTATTTTCACCGTGATGACCGGACTCATTGTCAACATGTAGGGGTGATAATTGAGAGTTCGACATTTTGAGTTTTAACCTGCAATTAGAGACACTTTAAAAAACAAGTATAAAGTAGTGTGTGTTTTGGAGGCTTGTATCAAATAACTATTATTATCCTTAGCCTCACAGTGGGCGCCAAACTGTTTACCCTCAAAATCGGATAATAATTGAATTTGTATGTGGTTTTAAGGATACGTGGACTAACTTGACACAAAATGATAAATTAGATTGCAATTGAAATAAATAATGATAAAGTAAATGCTAACCACAAGAATTGAACAGTCTTAGCCTTGGAAGATTAATCACCCTCGATCCAGGTATGCTTCGATCGATGTCAGGATACAGAAGAACAAGAGTTTAAAGAGAAATAATAATAATGTATTGCTTTAGGATATGTGTTACGATGTGTTCAATAAATTATCAGACCCCCCTTTATATAGTAGAGGAGTCCTACCTTAGGTACAATTCTATAAAAGGTAAAAATCTCTTGATTTGCTGATTGCCGGTTCCTTACTAATACGCGCCGAGATTCCCGCCGCAACATCTGCCCGGTACAGATATTTCGGTCTTCTGTTGGTTATGCTAACAATGTTTCTTCGAGCTCGTTGGGGGCTAGGGTCGACTCCGGGGTCTCGGACTCAATGTTATCGAAGGCAGGTGTTCTGACTCCGGGTTCTAGCTCGGTGTGACTCGAGGCCGATCTTCAGTCTTGTATTGTCATGTTCCGAGTCTGTCCTTTCATGTCGTAGGCGAACTCGATCTCGACCGTATACAACTATGTCCATCCTGTAGCTGTATGAGAATTTTCACCCAAGTTACATTTATTCTCCATGATTGACTCAATTTTACAGTAAAAATGGACTTATCAGAATAGATGGTCATCATGATATAATTTAATATGGCCATACTGGAATATATAAGTCCACCAAAGTGGCCTGCTCTCTGCCTTAACGTGCAAAAGCAAAAAAGCAAAGACTTGCATGGGCAATTAAACAATACTTCCTACGTCCAATTTATGCTTGACACCATATACACGAATTTAAAAAGAAAAAAAGCTTTCAAAAAAAAAGTAAAATAAGAAGTTTAATATGTTTCTAAATACAGAAAGCATCACTCTTTTGGGAAAAAAAAATTGTATCGAATAAAATGGGACATGGAGGGTAGAAATCAGGCACGGGTGGAACTTAAATGTACCGAATTCATCAACTCAGTACTTTCATAGTAGAACATTAGTTAAAATTCAATTTAATGCTTAAGAACCTTAAAAGTTGAATCCATTAAGATGAAAAGGGATCAAAATAACAAGGCGTCATGCGGAAGCTAACAAAACAAATCTTGAACGATTATAAATCAGAGTGCAAAAGAAAATTATACTAAAAGAGCATAATTCTTTAATGTGGTATGGAGAAATCCTTAATTTATAGAGATCACAACCTTTTCCTCCAAAAGAGAGATCTGTCAAATATAATCGTAAATATTCTGCGTCTAAATATAATAAGAAAATCAGTACAAACCCTAACCATCCCGAATCTCCCTCGGAGTAGAATTGTACGGAGTATATTTTATCTTTCTTGAGCATACAAAAGGAGAACCGATAGAACAATCTAAAATCAAAGAATCCACGAATCTCCTTCTTTAGATCAGCTTTGGCGAAACTTCAGAAAATGGAAGGTGTAGAGCACAAAACAGTGTCGGTAAATGGAATAAACATGCATTATGCTGAAATAGGTAAAGGCCCTTTAGTCCTTTTCATTCATGGCTTCCCAGAATGCTGGTATTCATGGCGGCACCAAATGTCATTCATGGCTAACCACGGATACCGCGCCGTAGCTCCGGATTTACGCGGCTACGGCGACACGGCCACCGGAGTACCTAATAAAGATGATCCTAGCAATTTCACAACCCTAAGTATTGTTGGTGATTTAGTGGAGCTGTTGAATTCTATTGCACCACAAGAGGAGAAGGTGTTTGTTGTAGGGCATGATTGGGGTGCTGTTGTTTCTTGGGCTCTTTGTTTGTATAGGCCTGATAAGGTTAAGGGTTTTTTCTGCTTGAGTGTTGCTTTCAATCCCAGAAACCCTATGAAGAAACCACTTGAGACTTTGCGTGCAGTTTATGGAGATGATTACTATGTTGTTAGATTCCAGGTGCTCTTCATTTGCTCTATCTCTCATCTCCCTTTTGTTTCGCATTTTTTCTAATTAAACTCACGTTCTTTCTCACCAAAAAGTCATTGAAGTTGGACATAGATTCAATTGAAAGTTGAAAAAAGAGTTTTTGAAGTTTTGTTGAAAAATAATATTTGTAAGTTAAAGTTGTGTTTGGACATGTATTTTATTTGGAAAAAAAAATTAAAGTTTTATGCGTAGAAGAAAAATTTTCACCCAAAATCTGTATTAAACTAGTTCTTGGGCACTTGAAAAAGAATTTCAATTTTTTTAAAAAACTGATCATATTCCACGAACAAACAGTATTTTTAGTTATATTTTTTTTTAAATAGCTAAAATCTATGACCAAACGAGAACTTCCATCGGTTAACGTTCAGTTTTGAATTATATGGATCGACTATATGAATTATTCATATCATGAATCTAACAGATTTAATATAGTTAGATTAGTTATGGAGCATCATTCTATTTTAACCATCCGTTTTAGTAAAAGTTTGGAATCTCTCGAGATTTACATATATAGGGTTCCAACAAATAAAGATAAAATAATAAATAGTGACAAAAATAGAAAAGCAACCTCGCTATGATCCTTGATCTAGTAGTTTGCACTTTGCATATCTTTCATCGATCATCTACATGCAGGAGCAATATTACGTTCGAATATAAATTCAAGGATTTCTGATTTTATTATCTATTTTGTTCGTAGCAAAACAGATTAAATTATTTGATCCAACAAAATAGATTATTGTTAAAGAAACAATGCAGTTACATTTTTATTAAGTACTTCATTTATATCAATTTATGTGATGGCATTTTACTTTTTTGTCTATTTTAATAAGAATAAAAATTTATACATCTAGAAATAATTTTAAAGATTTACTTAATGAGATGATTGATAACCACAAAAATAACTATGACTTGTTTTACGCTACAAATTTTAAAAATCTTTATTCTTTTTATTTTGTTTCATTTTTTAAGTTGTTACGATAGCCACAGTTCCATAAGTTTGAATCCCAATAGTTCTTAAAAAGCAAGATTCGTTTCCATAAAGTAAAGCTGCTAGTACGTGTAAGTATAGAGATGTTCTGTTATGGAATAGATCTCCAAAAGATTATGATATGTGTTGTCTTTTTAGAAAAAACAGTTCCCTCATTTTATCACTGCTACACTCTAGGTATATTCCATCTAGTAATTAATTATCTAACTTTTCTTTTGATCCAATAATTAATAGCTTGATTTTTCCTCCTATCTTCCATCACGGGGCTTTTACTTATCCACTATCTATACTAAAATCATATTTTTACTTTTATTTATTTATTTTAGTAAATTAAGAGAAAGAATTTTTTTTCCTTGTTTTACCCTGTTTATTAATTACTCATTCCCCAAATTATTTTTTAAGATTTTTTTTTTATAAAATATGCCATAAGGTGGCATTCCCCCTTTAATTACAGATACACAACACTCCCAAAACCCGGTGTCACTGAGTACATTAGTATCTAATATGAATACAAAATCTGACTGATAAAACACTGTCTGAAATATAGAACTGTACAATAACTGAAAGAAAGAGAGACAAGGTTAGCGGACTCCATGCAGCTAACGTTGATAGTCTCCAACTGATAGCACTTTGAGATTTAACAGTCGCCAGATCCGAAAGCACTTGGATCTGCACACGATCTGTCTTTTTGTGAAAGGGCAAGATGTTATTTTTGGTATGCATAGACATAGTAAGCTTGGCCTTGTGAGTCTTCCATATCTCCATTGTTTTCATTAAACTAGCAAAATATACAAAAGAGGGGGACCATACGTCCTTACCTCACCAAAAGTTGAATTGGAGTTACATAAAATATCTCCAGCTATCATATTCTACCTTAGAAACTAAAGCATCAAGGGAAAACTGGATGTACAAGCTCCTCCTTCCCAGCTAGATCCCTATACAAAAAATACAAATAAGCTCCAATTTCCCGTGCCAGATACACTTATGAATTTACAAAAATACATTATTCTTCTTTTGCTTATGCCTAAAAGAAACCATTTGGATGTAATCTAGCCTATAAGACCCTTTTGCTGAGACTGGTAGATCTTGAAATGAAGTGATACTCAATGCATCGTTGTCAATTCCCTGCTTGGCAAGTGCATGCGCGACCTGATTAACTTCTCTATAACAATGTTGTACTTCACGATTTACCCGACTGATAAGACTTTGGATATTCTTAACCGTGTCCATCATCTGCCAAGGTACTGCGCATTCCAGAATGATATTACACATATTATAATGACTGCACAATTTGAGGCCAGCAAGAGCAGCCTGGCTTCAACCATGTTAGGAGGTTTTTCCCATATAATAGGAATGCAAACAATCCTAGGAACTAGATTAACTATCTGATGACATACTTTCCCAGTTGGTATCCCATTCTCGACCACACTCTGTCTTAGCAAGAATCCATTTGAGATGAGTTAGAATTTGGTAAATAATTCCTTTTACATAGACCCTTTTTACCTCCAAATTTCAAGGCACATCTTGCCTTCCAGATCTCCCAAAATATAACCACATGAGTAACTTGTAAGATAGTTTGATGAACACTATTCTTAGGTTTAAGAGCCCACCATCTCTGTATCATTGTAAAAATAGGAATATCACTCCAACTGATCCCCAACGGTCCTCCAAAATATTTCCATATGTGAGATGCCACCTTGCCACCAATAAAAGTATAATGAAGTGTTTCCTTCTGAAAGTCAAGACAACATAAGCATTTGGATACAAAAGTATGAACAAATCTCATAATAGTGTCATCAAAAGGCAGTTTATCTTTTAAGATTCTCCAAACCAAAAAGGACATTTTAAAAGGCAAATATTTATGCCAAATTCTTTTCAGAAAAACGGCTATATCCTTTCTCTGCCTAATACAATTCCAAGCCGACAAAGTAGTAAAGATACCACAACTATTTGGCATCCACACAGGGAGATCAACAGAGTTATGGATACTAATAGGAATGACAAGATCTGTTCGGACAAAAATTCAGGAAGATGTAAATTAGATATATTCTAGTTATTATTAACGATAACATCGCTAACAACTTGATTGCTTGGAGGTTCCTGCAAATGGATAATTTGAGCAATGGCACCCATTTCTGACCAATTGTCCCACCATAAACTACTATTGCCTAAGTTGATCCTCCATAGTAGTAGCTCTTCCATCTTCTCTCTATAGGAAACGGGGTGAGAGTTGCTGCAATATTTAGCTTGAAAGAAGTCAGACCACAACGTCTTGCAAGTTCTAAATCGCCACCACCTTTTCATAGTTAAACTATTACTAACATCAACCAACATCTTGAACCCCAAGCCTCCCTCCTCTACTGGATAGCACAAATTAGCCCAAGAACTCCAATGATATTTTTGTTTCCCATCTATAGACCCCCCAGAAAAATTTGGCCATATAACTTTCTAATTGCTTAAAAATAGTTTTAGGCGGTTCTATGGCAGAAAGCAAATAGATAGGTTGAGACTGTAAGATATGCTTGATAAGAGTTGCTCTACCACCAACAGATACCAACTTACCCTGCCAACCTGTTATCTTCCTCACAATTTTTCTAATCCTATCATTAAAGTGAGATATCCTCTGTCTTCCCATATACAAAGGGTATCCTAAATAGGTGATGGGAAAATTGGCATGATTGAAACTAGTAACTTCCTTAATTCTCTGAATGTCAACATTAGAGGCCTTTGTACTAACCAAGAAACAACTCTTATTAATGTTAATACTCTGCCCAGAACAATTCTCATAATTCTGCAATTGGTGAATCACCAACTTCAACGATCTTTTTCCACCAGATGTAAAAATCACAACATCATCTGCATAAGCAAGATGTGTTATTTGTGGACCATTATGCAACATACTAAATTCAATGTACTGATTTTTATGAGGCAACTGATTTAACATGATAGAGAGAACTTCAGCCCCTAGTATGAAAAGAGAAGGGGATAAGGGGTCCCCTTGCTTTAGCCCTTTATAAAATAGAAAGAAATCTCTTCTAACTCCATTAGTGAGCACAGAATACCAAACATTAGAGATTAGCCTCCACACTAGGTCAATCCAATTTTCTGAAAACCCAAACTTCCTCAACACTTGCAATAAGAAGTACCAATTGACTATCGTAAGCCTTTGACATGTCAAGCTTAACGACTATATTTCCTCCCACGTTTCTTTTTCCAATACCATGTATAATTTCCTGGGCCAATAAAATATTTTCTGTAATTGACCTGCCTTTTAGGAAGCCTGTCTGATTGTGAGATATAAGCTTTGGGAGAATAGAATTCAGTCTTGAACTCATTATCTTAGAGATAATCTTGTATGAATAGTTACTCGGGCTTATAGGTCTCATTTCATGAAAAGAACTAGGATTATCCACTCTGGGAAACAATACTAGATATGTGCTTGTATAGAATCTGCTAAGCTCTGCCCCAGTAAAGAAATGTTGTATCAAATTGACCAAATCTACTTTGACAATGTCCCAACAGTTTTGGTAGAATGCTCCTCCAAATTCATTTGGCCCTGGTGAGCTGTTAGCATTTAGTGAGCTGCTAGCATTTAGATCAAATATATCTTTCTTGATTTCCTCCTCATCTGGGATATTACATAACATATTATTATCCTCCTAGTTAATAAGCTGGCTGATACAATCCAAATGATGAAGCTCTGGAACACCTTCATCTCCAAACAAATTTATATAACAATCAACTGCCTCTTTAGCAATGTTTTCTTCCCCATTTAACCACTGTCTAGCTTCTCCTTGTACTCTCTGTAAGGTGAGTCTTCGTCTTCTTTCATTTATAATGGAATGAAAATATTTAGAGGTTGAATCACCCTCTTCTAGCCATCTAATGTTGTCCCTTTGCTTGAGTATTGCTTCTTCACGTTTCAACCATTTAGTGTGCTCTGCTTGACCTTTATGAATCTGAGGTCTAAGATCTTCCATATCATTCTCAATGTATTCATCTTCCAGAACTTGCATCTTGGCTTCCCATTCTCTGACTTTATCAAACACATTTTCAATTTGTTCTTTTGACCACTGGCTGAGTCTTCTACTCAAGTTTTTGATCTTGACTTGAAATCTTCTCATACAATTTCCTTGTACTTCTGCATCCAATACCTCCTCTTCATAGTCGCCATCCTGATCTCTATCATGATCATCTTCACTACTGAATTCAAGTTCACTAGCCTCTTCTTCATTATCCCTTCCAAAATTGTATTCTGTTGAGCCAAAGTCAAAGTACCAGTGGGAAAATTTAGTTGAAGTGGAGTTGTGTTGGGACTCCACAGCTGAACCTCCAAATGTATACCTTTTGCTTCTTTTTGCAAAATTGGACTGGTTGTTGGACCTCCTACTGACTGGGGAGTACCACAAAAACCCATCCTTTGAGAGTTGGAATGAGAACCAATTTCTTGTAAATTGTCCTGCTCTTCACAAAGATTAGCTTCCTTTTCAAGTAGTTGAAATGAGTTGGACACACTCACAGGATTGTGGCCCACAGTCGGGAAACGAGTTTGTACATTCAGAACTTCTATATCCCTTTCCTGGCTATCATCCTTAGCATATGATTCAACTACTACAATAGAATTGACTTAAGATAAATTTTGTACAGTATCGTTAGCTTGTTCGGTCTTCTATTGTTCTCCCTTATCATTTGATGGCCTAGCCACCCATTTCATTTTGTTCTTCTTGCCAAGGCTAGCCCTGATGCCTTGCTGAATTCTTCGCCTATTCCGTGAAAGGTTTCTCTACTTGATAATTCCTTTGCTATTAATCACTGGACCTTTAGAAGATTGACTACCTCCTAAAGCAACAGGGATATGATTTGTGAGAGCAAAATTCTGAGCATCCATTTTTGGCAACTGAATAAAATTTGTCCTAACACCACGCTTAGTGAAAGAGGCCTTCTTATTGACTGGTTTAGAGCTTGTAGATGCAAAATTGGAAGGATGTGCTTGTTTCTTAGACAACTGATCAGTAGTAGGCATAACAGCACCAACATTCGCCTTTGAGTTATCTGAATTCACCTTCCTCTTTTGTGACAAACATACCTCCTAAACATGTTCCTTATGTTTGCAAGCAAAGCAGTAATCTGGGACAAATTCGTATTCTATCTGTTGCCAAAAAACCCCAACTTCAGACCCACCCTCTTCCTTGATGCCTGCCCATACAGACACTCGTCTCTAAAATAGCCAAATCGACCTCAACCATAACCTTAGCAAAATTAAGCCTTGACTTAACATCAGTGGCTTTGTCAATTTTTAATAAAGTTTCAATAGTAGAAGTAATTCTCTGAAGCGCATACCAATTATAATATTGCCATTTGAGCTCCGGCAGGGTAATCCAAAAAGGCGCTAATGAGGTTTCTTCTTTCGGATTGAAATCTGCAGTCCAAGTAACAACCCTCATCCAACTCCCCAAAACCCAGAAGTTCCTTCTAAGATATATCTTCAAATAATCCTCCCTAACCATGAAATCTAGAAAAATATACTTGGAATTATAATGACCAATTTTAAGAGTACCAACCATCGGAAACCTAGATGCGAAATCCCTCCTGATGTCTTCAATAGCTGGCTTTCCATGTGAGAATTTTCTCTTCTTCTTGTGGAGAGAAAAATGCAGCTGGTTTTTCTTCGTGCATTTCTGGCGGTCGGGGCTTTAGCTTCGTTCTCACCGCAGGACTTGCGACGGTGGTTGCATAGGAATTGGTATCATTATTACGGATATTACGGTAAAATATGTACTTTATTTATTCCATCAGTTTTAATTTATGTTAACCTATTTGACTGGGAACGAAATTTAAGAAAAGAGATAATACTTTTAAATTTGTGGTGTAAAATAAGACAGATATATTTTGTGTGGCTATAAATTATTACATAAAAGTAAATTGTTTCCAAATAAGTAAAGACGTCATTCTTTTTGGTACGGACTAAAAATGAAATAAGTTTACATAAATTAAAACGAATGGAGTATTTATTAAGGGAAATACAAATTACAGTGTGTATAAGTACAAGTGAATAGAGGGAGTAGTTAATATTCTCTTCGTCCCAATTTATGTAATAAACTTTTATTTTCAATCTATCCCAAAAAAATAATATATTTCTAAGTTTAGATACAATATAACTTTTAAACTTATGATTTTATCCTTAATGAAATGATGGAATGATTTATACCATACAAATATTTATGACTTGTTTTAAACAAGAAGTTTCAAAAGTCATTACATAAGGGAGTACTACTGAAACAATTTTCTATATTCTTTTTTTGTCAAGAGTCGAATTAATTAATGAATTAGTTGAAGATTACTTTTTTTAACTCTCGAGAACATTCATTTTAACACAACATGAATAGTAAATTTACATGATTAACAGCTCCTTTAATTTGATTGTGTTAATGCAGGAGGCTGGAGTAATAGAAGCTGAGTTTGAGGAGATAGGTGTGAAGAATGTTTTAAAGAAGTTTTTCACATATAGGGAACCAGCTCCTCTTTACTTTAAAAAAGGAAAATCATTTGGAGATAATCCTCAAGTAGAGCTGCCTTGTTGGTTATCAGAGGAAGAACTTGATTTCTATGCTACCAAATATGAACAAACTGGCTTCACTGGAGCACTCAACTTTTACCGAGCAATAGATCGGTAAGCGATTTTAATATAATCTCTTCGTTCCATTTTATATGATGCACTTTGACTATATATGCATAGAATTAAGAAAAAATGAAAATAAAAATTTTAGAACTTATAGTCTAAAACAACCATAGATATAATATAGATATAATTGTATGTCTATAAATTATTTCATTCATGCAAAAGGAGAAGTTTAAAATTAAATTATTCTTAATTATAATAAGATATCACTCTTTTAGCTAAATATAAGCTTAAAAGGAAGGTGTATCACATAAATTAGGATGGATGGAGTACTATAATACTCCCGTTGTCCTATTTTACATGATAGTAGTAATATTTCAAAGTTAAGTATCTTTTTATTGTTATTTTTACAAACATTTTAGTCATATTGATATTAATTAACAACGGCAATGTATAGTAATGTATGTACGTAGTTGCTTGCTAACTATGTAATTCTCAGTTCGAAAATATTAAAAGTTAATATTCGAATTAACAAAAAAATTAGAAAATTTAACTTTCGTACTTCAAACTCTCGTTATTATATATTGGACCGGGAAGTAATAATATAACTACAATACGCGAACTTAAATAATGTCTCAAATCCAAACAAGTTGGATCGGCTAGATGCATGACTATATGGTCTTAGTGGCCATGCATGTTGCTCCATATATATATATATATATATATATATATATATATGTGTGTGTGTGTGTGTGTGTGTGTGTGTGTGTGAGAGAGAGAGAGAGAGAGAGAGATTAAAGTACCCTATAAATTTGGATGTAAGTTATTTGCATTTGAATATTGCAGAAATTGGGAGCTTACAGGAGCATGGACAGGGGCTAAAATCCAAGTACCAGTGAAGTTCATTGTAGGTGAGCTTGACCTTACTTATAATGCTCCTGGCACAAAAGATTATTTACACAAAGGAGGTTTCAAAAAACAAGTGCCTTTGTTAGAGGAAGTTGTGGTTTTAGAAGGAGTTGGACATTTTATCCACGAAGAAAAACCAAAAGAAATTAATGACCATATTTACAACTTTATTCGCAAGATTTCATCCTCTAATCAATCCAAGTTCTGTGCTATTCTGTAGAGTTTCTCTTCTTTTTTTTCCTCCATTTTTTGAGGTTGTATTAAATGTGTTTGTTTGCTAAGTTTGTAATGTGTGCCCATAATGTTGACAACCAGGTGAGCTTTATTTTGTTGTTCTTTATTGAAGATGGAGTTTTCTTGCACTCTTCTTGCAACTAATTAAGATTACGCTTGATTAATTTCTGATAATTCCAATTCTTATAATTCTTGAGAGTTAAACATTGAGTTTATTATGCTTTTTGATGAAAATTTTATGCAGATGGTCACTGTACCAATTGTGACTAATCTCTATCAAATTACTGTCTAACCTCTTTGTAACGGCCTTGTTAATTCCGATATTTTTTGGCTGTTATAGTAAGTTGTTATAGATAACAAATACTTATTATAATATAGCATGAAAAATTAGTTCCAAAGAAAACCCGGTTGCTATAGTGAAGTATTGACTGTTATAGAGAGATTCAACTGTAGTAGTCTCGTTGTACAAAAGAAAAGTAAAATATTAGCTATGAGTCATTATCATCAGTCCGTTATCTATCCAATTCATTTTCTGCTACAAACGTCATGGCTTTTCAATTAATACTAAAATTTTAGTTCTAAACTTTGTCATACGTTTTCTCAGAGTGATAAAAAAAGATAGTTAACTTATTGTTCCATTTAAGTAATAAGGACACAAGTATATGACTCACATGGAAAAGCCAAGAGGAGAAGAAAACCTATTTTCTTAGTAGAACAAAAGGTGGAGAGATTTCAGAAACTTCTCTCGAGATTAACCATAATTTGCAAAAGAACAACATTGTGACATATAACGATATAACCAAAAAACGAAACAAGTTAAGCTCAATGGTACTCTTGCTTGTAAAAGTATACCTACTACTCTTTTCTAAGCCGCTTTTCCTCATTTTACTTGCCCTCTTCACGAACTTGTACACTTTAAAAAGCAGCTAAACTCTAAGCGAGATTGTCAAAACACAAGTACATTTTCAAGGAGAGTGATAGAAAGAGCGAGATGGAGGAAATGAAGGAGATTCAACACAAGTTATTGAGAGTGAATGGGATAAACATGCACATAGCTGAAATGGGCCAAGGCCCAATAGTTCTATTCCTTCACGGCTTCCCGGAACTATGGTACTCGTGGCGCTACCAAATGCCGTTCATGGCGGGCCATGGCTACCGGGCGGTAGCCCCGGACCTACGCGGGTTCGGAGACACCACCGGAGCACTCAATGATGACTTCACCAAGTTCACCACTCTCCATGTTGTTGGTGACATTGTGGAACTTCTTAATATCCTTTCCCCTGACCAAGAGAAAGTGTTTGTAGTGGGCCATGATTGGGGAGCTATGATTGCTTGGGCTTTGTGTTTGTATAGGCCCGATAAGGTCAAGGCCCTTGTTAACATGAGTGTTCCTTTCACTCCACGAAACCCAATTGTTAGGCCCATTGCTCGTCTACGTGCTACTTATGGAGATGAGTACTATATTATCAGATTCCAGGTTTATTTATTTATTTTTCCACTCTTTCTTCTCTCAACTAATACTCCATCTAAATGAATTGAATACTCGATTTACTGTTGATAGTCAAGTTGATCAACTTTTAAGGTTAAGTCAAACTTGTATTAATTCGTCTTTATGAAATAATGTTAGGATGTATAATAATAATACTACAAGTGCGGGAAAAATATATATCAAAATTTTGTGAAATTCAAGTTTGTTTGACTATTGAAGAGTAAAAAACAATAATTTAAGGGTAGATGGAAATGTCACTAGTTCTCATAATGTGATGAATTGTTTAATAATTTAAACTATGAAGGAACCTGGAGAAATAGAAGAAGAATTTGCTCAAATAGGGACCAAGACAGTTTTGGAGAAGCTATTGACTAATCGAAACCCTGAACCACTGAAGTTGCCTAAAGGAAAGCCATTTGATAAAAGTCCAGTCAAATTACCCCCTTGGCTGACTGAAAAAGAAGTTGATTACTATGCTACCAAATATGAGCAGACTGGCTTCACTGGTGGATTGAATTATTACAGAGCTCTTGATCTGTAAGCTTCTACACTAATCCCTCTTTCATTTTTTTTCTTCATATAATGAATCACTACTATATTATAGCTCTACTCGAAAGACTACTCAACTAATAAATCTTGATTCAAAAGTATAGAGAATCTTTGCGCTTGGGGCAATGACGCAGCTACTCAGGTACTAACCGAGGCGCGTCTATTGCTGGTTGAAAACTATTTCCAAACCCCCTCTTTGGCCCTGACCATTGAGAATTTTTGAAAGGGCTTCCCTTCTGGGTAAAGCCCTAAAAGAAAATATGACTAGCTACTTACCTCAAAATTGATTGTATTCTTGAAATGCAGAAACTGGGAACTGACAGCACCATGGACTGGGGCTAAAATAAAAGTACCAGTGAAGTTCATAGTAGGAGATTTGGACATAACTTACAATGCAGCAGGAGTCGAGGATTATATACACAAGGGTGGATTAAAGAAAGATGTACCCTTGCTAGAAGATGTGGTTATCTTGAAAGGGGTGGCTCATTTTCTTCAACAAGAAAAGCCTGATGAAGTTAACAAACACATCCATGCCTTCTTACAGGGATTTTCTTCCTCTGATTAAAGGTTCTGCACTTTAAAATTTCTTTGGAGCTCCACAAGAAGTTAGATCAACCAGAAAATGGAGTTGCACAAGCATCATTTCCATACGCTAAAATAATTCTTATACCTATTTCATCCATTTCCAAATATCTGTAAACCTTAAAAAAATTGGTTTCCATTCAGAAGTTCTTTTCTTTTCAGCCAGGAATTGAAGGGTAGGAATAGAAAGAAACATTATAGATATTACTTTGAGTGATATGTGATATTAACACCAAGGCAAAGACACTAAACTTGAGACTGAGAGAAGAGAGATAATGAGAAAGCTATATTGTTGATTAAGACTGCTATAATCAGGTCCTCTTATACAACTAGCAGCTGAGTACTAATAAACCTTAATCAAAATGAACTGAATACTATATAGTATAAATTTCTAATGGCATTACCTAAGGGATTTATCACCTAAAAAGGGTACAAAAAAGCATTCAACTGAAAAACAAAGTCGAGCATCATGCTATTTCAACTTGTAATTTTTCAGAAAACATACAAGCAGTTCTAAATGTTTAATGTTAGTGTTTTTATTATTGTACAACATATCCGGGATGTCTTAAAAGGAAAAAGAAAGAATTGTCCACAAAGAAGTGGTTCAAGTATACAACAAAGAAAAAAGAAGCTAACTCTTGGTGAATCATTGTTGTTTTGCTCCTGGGCGTCTTCCAACATCAAAGTGAACATCCAGGAAACCCGTTATGCCAGCATCAATCTTTTGGCCTACCTTAACAGGGCCAACTCCTTTGGGAGTCCCTACAGAAAATCAGTAATGGATACATTGAATGAATAACTGTAACAAGAGTTGTATTACTTGAACAAGAACGTTTTAAAATTCTCAATAAACTGGGTGAAGTGACACACTTGCTGAAATTTAAAAAGAAATCTCCAGTAGGTGACATACTTGCTGAATTATAGAAAACAGTAGGTAGGGTTACCCAATGGTTTCAGGACAGTTTGCAGCATTTTTTTTAGAATAAGACTAGTGTAAACCGAATGATGTTCCTTCTCTTGTCCAGTGATATACAAGTATTGAGCCTTCATGTAAATTAACAAAAACTGACAATGGAGGGAAACTAAAAGAGATCCAAGAACGTAGCAGGCCATCAAAAACATGTTTCACTTTCAAAACCACAAGCATGTAAATCAAGAAAAATTCAAGCACAAAAAGGAAGAACCTTAATGACCTCAGTTTATCATAAAAGGCCTAACAATTGCAAAAGTTTACAGGACTTTATAAATAGAAAAAAATGCAATGCAAGTTGCGAAAAGAAAAAATAACTTTCATGAAAGGCCATTTATCAATTGAATAAAGAAGCAGCATGAGTCGTCCTACCAGTTAAAATAACATCTCCCTGAAGAAGAGTCATGATCGAACTTATGTGGCTAATCAAAAATGGGATCTTGAATATCATATCACTTGTCGAGCCTTTTTGCCGAATTTCTCCATCAACCTGCAGAGTAGCATATGATGATCAGCTGCAATTGTGAAGACCAACATTAAGCAGACGGAAAGAAATATTATTACCTTCAGCCACAATTCTATATCATGGGGATCTGGCACCATCGACTTAGGTAACTGCAGGAAACAAAAGGGAAAGATGATTATTAATTATTCTCAAAATGATATATAACACCATCTAACATTAGGGGGAAAACAAAGGGAAAATGAAAACAAACATATGACATTGCCAAAACTTCTTACAACCGAGCTGATAGGAGTGAATGTGTCTTGGCCCTTAGCAACAGTCCACGGCAGGCCTGCAGACTGTCAATTTGTATTGGTAAAAATTGGTATTGTCATCCTCAGGAATGACAATGAAGGACTAATAGTAATGATTAAAGACCAAAAATAAATAAGACAAATGAGCACGGATATTCGAAATGTATGACGTAAAAGAATTCAAACCTTTGCAGTAGCTTGGATCTCCCTCGCAGTCATATCCAAAGCAAGTGCATAACCTGAAACAAAGAATTTTCAACCAGTGAGTAGAGTCCACATATTTATTGGGACAAACAATCTAATGCAGACTCAGAAGAAAGCAGATGGATTATTTTTTTTTTTTGAGAAGGAAAAGAAGAGGGCCTGAAGAAAGCAGATGGATGAGTATGTTTAACGAACTTAGAAACAGAAAGAAGGAAAAAAAATTCCGCAAATAAATCAACCTGGTTTTGTTGTTCCACTGCTTCCGTTTTTAAACAAATAGGGGACATCCCATGAATCGATGGGCATATCTTAACAAGTTCGTTGAATAACTCTAATTTATTTCCGGCAAAAGTAGATAAAAATTGAAAAGACAAGTGAACCTTGGCAAGATAGACACCCAGTATTCACCTAAGCGAAGGAACAACAGCGTAGCACTGTTCAGGTAGAATCCAACAACAACAACAATAACAACAACAACCCAGTAGAATCCCGCAAGTGGAATCTGGGGAGGGTAGTGTGTACGCAGATCTTACCCCTACTCCGGAGGAGTAGAGAGGCTGTTTCCGATAGACCCTCGGCTTAAATATATTGCCCAAGAGGTGGTTGTGTTGGCCAGTAGCCACACAGCTTGGCGGATGTTAGCAACAATCGCAAAGTGTCTTGGCAAGCCTCAACTTGATTTTGTGCTCAAATAGAGATAAACTGTCAAAAAAGCAGCCAATGCAAGTGCGCTGCAACTTTCTATGGCATGGGGTGGAATGTGAAAAATATTCCAACACAACAGGAACAAGGAAAAAGAAGAAAGCAAACGAAATTGAATCCAGATAAGTTACTTCTAATCGATTAAGTTACTATAGGCATGGGGAACCCCGGATCCCCATAGTCTTTCATGATAACTAATCAAGTTGATGGGTTCGCTCAGCAGGGGTTATGCCGTCGAGTGCCGGTCACATAACCCTCCACAAAAAAAATAGCCTTCTTGGGTCTTCAGCTAAGAGAAACAAGGCTTAGGTGAGGAGGTTGACGGTAGTGCACTTTTACATTATAACATTAACATTAGTAGATTTATGATAAGAGGTTTTAACTGGTTCACTGTGGGCTTTCACCAATACTGAGATGGCAAGAGACAAAATGGAGACTACTACAAGGAAGAAGAAATCTCACGAGACAAAATGGAGACTACTACAAGGAAGAGGAATTCTTTATTTTTTTCTTTTTTCTCTCTTTTTCTTTACACTTCCGGGGTAAAATTAGAACCTCTCTATACACACAATATCAGGAATGCCTACTGTGCCGTAAGGTTCACTGCTCGAATATCTTTTATTTATCGTCTTAAACCAGTGAACAGTGCAAAACTACTCTGAGGCCTGAGCCATGCAATTGATGGGTCAGAGGGTGAAACACATTATCTGAGCACCAGTTTTATCTTAAGGATTGGGCAAATATTTATCTTAAGGATTGGGAAAATATTTATGCTGAAAAAATCTATCAGGGGAAGAAAAACACATCATTCCACAACACCAATTCAGTTCACTGCTTCTCAAGTCTTTTGCTATAATATAAATTAAGATGCACGTCAAAAAGAGCTCATAGCAGTAATTTTCTCCAATATGTGGTGCTTTAGTAGTTTAGAGAATAGAGACCATGCAATGTACAAAACGAGAATCACGATAGAAGATCAACTTCATATTGTAACCTAAAGAACAGCATTGGCTGTCAAAAACTGCAGCACAGATCAACAAACTATACAGGGTCTTTCTTTTTTCTATCGACTAAAATAACAATCACACATGCATTTTATGAAACAAGATTAAAGATATAACTACACTTGCAAAATACAGTCGAATTCAACTCAAAGTTATCAACTTTAGGAATCAAAATACAAAATCGAGCATACAAGTTTTGCCAATTGTTGATAGAATACCTCCAACATAGTCCATAGCAGTGGCTTCAGGTACATCCCTAGCTCTTTGGCTTATCACAACTGCCAACTCCACCTCGTGATCCAGTGATTCCAATGGATGAGGAACTTCGATTGTCCCTCCGTTCATCAAATACGAGGATGTGGGCTTCATAAACAACACTGGCTCCTTCAAAAGTTAAATCACAATTACACATAGATAAACCTAGTACGATGATCGATTGCGCTCAATCAGCTTCGAGAAAAGCATCAATCACAGATCAGAATTCACACACACACACATAGAGAGAGAGAGAGAGAGAGAGAGAGAGAGAGACCTTAGGTACTGCGTTACCGAGTTCTTTGGCATGAGCGGCGTAGTTACGACCGACGGCGATGATTTTACTGCCGACGGTGAGAAGATTTTCATGTGCTGCCGTCGTGGCGGTTGCCATGTTCCTCGATGCAAATGATTTTCCGATTGCTCTAGCAGCGCCACCGCACACTAGGTTTCGAGCAATACTGATTGTTTGAATTTTCGCACACATTGTATATATACGAGTGTGTCAGTGTGTGATAAATCAGCTGCCAATTCTGCCCGAAATGGAAAGAGAGACCAATAGTGTCGAGATGATTAAGAGAATTTCTCCTTTGCTTCATCTTCTTTTCCTTTTTCTTTTAATTATACAAAATTTGGTTTGGTTTCGTGGAACTGTCCTTAAAGCGCTATGTACGACTATTAAAGCATACGTGCTTTTAGAGAAGAAAAAACTCTCTGTGATGTGAGAGAATTTAGTCCCTTATGTTTGAGTTTGAAGTAATTCAGGGTAACTCATTAAAACATTTGATTCTTTTAGAATTCGAGTTTTTTTTTCCTTTTATTAGACCTACTCTAAAAAAATATGGTCTAATCTTTCACAGTTTTGACTAAAAACTCAGTGAAAATTCAGCGGTAACTCATAAAAATATTTGATTCTTATTTCTTTTTCATCCAAAAAAGGAAAAAATTACTCTACTAATTAAAAAATCTCTTTCAAATGGTTTCTCATAAGTTAAAAATGGTAATAAAATACGAATTACTATAACAGTAATAGTTCTTTAAATAAACTCAAAGTTTTTATTAATCGTGTTGTTTTCTGGTCGGCTTGTTTGCTCATCTTGGTAATGTTTTCTTTTGTTTCACTGCTAATCCAAACTAATTAAACTCTTCTTTCTTTAGTGTATTTCCTCCAATTGAATTTAAGGCAAACGCGTATAAAAAAATTGATAAAAATTTAAGAAGAGGTAGTTTGAATTTATCCATAGTTTGTTTGTTTAATTTATTCCTCCCACCTAAAAGTGAAGATTTAATAGAATCCATATAAGCGTTCCTCGTTGGTCTTATATTGGATGTATTTTTCAGCATTCAAATTAACGGAACAGATCATTTTCTATACTTCCAGAATTCAGATTTAAGAAGTTCTAACTTGTAATTTTTGGTTATGAATATCAGCTTACTCTCTAGTCTCTAATCCCTACAAAATATACTCCTTTCTTTTCATTGCATGTTCAATCTGTCACTATACAAGTAACTAGCTTCGCTTCCTGCAAAATATTAGTAGTATTAACAAGTGCTGGTTATAGGAAGTATATCTACTGCTATTGATATATATAATAATTAGGGGTGTTCATAAGAACCTAAAAAACCAAACCAAACAGAAAACCGAACTAAACCGACCAAAAAAACCGATACTTCTTATGTTTGGTTTGGTTTTGGTTTTGAATTTTAAAAACCGATCAAATTTGGTTTGGTTTTGGTGTTAATCAAAAAATAACCGAACAAAACCAAACCAAACCGACTATAGAAGTAGTTATTAAATTTATTATTACATATATATATATATNAAGTAGCTATTTAAATTTATTATTACACACACACACACACACACACACACACACATATATATATATATATATATATATATATAAAGTTTCTAAAATTTTATGGTACATATTAGTCGTTTGTATTTTTAATCTAGTTCTTTGCTATTATATTAATTTAATTATTAATTATTTGCCTTTACATTCTAGTTTGATTGGTAGTTTTTTTTTGGTAAGTACACGAATTTATTTCATGTTAAAAATAATCGATTTTTAATTGAGTACTTAAATTATTCATCACTACTTGATTCAATTATCATCAATATATTTTGGTAAACGATAGATTTCTCAAATAGCAATTGGTTTGATAGTGCTACGTTGAAAATGTAGTCGCCGGAATATGTGTTTGGCATTGTATGTCTCATATTTAAGAAAAAACCCGATAAATAACCGAAAAAATCGAAAAACCGACAAAACCGAATCGATAAAAAACCGATTTAATTGGTTTGGTTTGGTTCCAATATTTAAAAATCGACTTACTTGGTTTGGTTTCTTTTTAGGGAAAAACCGATCCAAATCGAACCATGAACACCCCTAATAATAATATAAAGTCCATAGAAGTCAAAGTAGTCTTTCAAAGAAGAGCTTCATCATCTTAATAAACTTTACTAGTTTCTTCCAGTTAGGCTGAGATTTCTTTATCTTTTGCAGAAGCTACAGGACTTAGCCCAGAAGTAGAAGTCATTTCACTCGAAGACTTTGAGGAAGTGTTGACAGATTTAGGAGATTCTCCAATTCCAAGCTGTAGGCATGACCTGTATGTAGTTTGCATCATTAAATTTCATGAAATAGAAAGAAAGGGCATAAGACCAAATGCTACTTTGAAACAAATAGCTTTCAGGTACAAGAGATATCTGTTGCGTGGACACTCCAAAATGCTGCCGTACCCGTGTCGGATCCTCCAAAAATATACTACTTTTGGAGGATCCAACACGCACCTGGCGGCATTTTCGGAGAGTCCGAGCAACATAGCAAGAGATACAGCTGGAATAAACTTTCTGAATATTTGAAACGCAACTAACTAGTTTGCTGAGAAAACTCTCTGCTGGTAGCATGTAGTATTACAGATGTAAACACACCGAGACCTATATTTTTCTTGTTTGCTACAAGTATCCTCTATCATCCATCTTACCACAAGCCTCAGTTTTAGTCACTACTTACAGTGTTGAACTTGTTTACAAATGACAAGATTCAAAACTGAAGTTCACAAAATGTTGTACCTTTCCATGTTCAGAAAGGATCTTAACTTCTGAATTCAGTTTTTCATAAAAGACAAATTAGAGACATTTCATTACTATAAACCTACCGTGGATGGAATTTGGCGAGCTGGAGATTAGACAAGGAATTTGAACAGCACCCTCTGAGTCGAGTCATCTTATCAGATAAATCCTCATTTAACTGTAAAATACACAAAAGAACATATCATAGAAGATTTTTTACTCTATTACTACACACTGAGTTGAGTGTGGTATGCGTCTAAAAGATTAATAGAGGTGTCGTGTTGACCAAAACATCAACCCCAGAGGCCAGCAAAAGATAAAATTCTGGCTTGTAAAGAACAATAGCAAATCTTCATTTAATCCCATACTTACACTTACTTCTTGGGAATTCTGGACCTTGGAGAGCTCAAAATCCCGAGGCACCTGCCTCTTCTTTTCATTAAAGAGAACAAATGCACATTTGCATATGTAGAAGAGAAGTATCACACCAAGAGCGAGCACCAGAATGAATTCAGTAAGAATTGCTGATCCAAAAGCTGCAAATCAGATGCAGTATTATTGTCATCATGATAACTAATAGCATAATACATCTGTCAATGCTTCACTTATTCCAATTGAAAACTCAGAAAATTTGCATTGATTCTATAATAATTCTATGCTTCACTCATAGAATCAATGCAATCTTCAAAAAGTTATCGTGCATCCCCCTTTCCATGAAGTGCAGTTTGAATGAGCCAATAAATATATATATA